AAAAAGAAAAAAAAAAAGAAAAAAAAAAAAAAGAGGGGCTCCATAAAAGATTTTGAAGAGGCAGTCAGCTTGATGCTGAGGTCGATTAGAGATCCCGAAACGCAAAGGTGGACGTGTAAGAAGATTATAGTTGAGGGGCGATTGTAATTACCCAAACAGAAAGTGATTTTTGTAATTTGACCGTACCTCGGAGTGGTTGTAATTTACCCTACTTTTTAAGAGCTTTTTTTTTTTGTTTTGGTTAATTCCTTGTTTTAATTTCTCTTTGAAATTTGTTACCGGTCGTCACGAAATTTAGATTGCATTAGTATATAGTTTTTGTGCATTTTCATATTCACATAATTATTCGTCACCATCTCAATTTATCGATACTCGAATAAGAATCGATCGTAAGGGTTTAGATACTTACGATGAAAAATTGTGAACGCCTTGTGGGTCAGAATAGATATCGACTATCTATAAATCATTTTCATTATCTGATAGTGATACTGATACATTACAGTTGCGTGGCGAATATACCTATCAACAAAAAAATAATGTCAAATACTTGGGAAAATATCAAAATAGTCTTCCTTTGGGTTCCATTGAAAAGTCAACCTTGGTAGATTTGAAAAGGCAAAATTCAAAAAGTTGCAATAAAATTTTATTGCATATGTTAATATGTATTACACGTAATGTTTCATTGAAAATTAATGTCCAAAAAAATAAGTAGGTTTGGAAGCACTTAAAAATGTATCACCCTTTACCCATACTTTTAGGGTCCTCCCCACTATTCTCCAAATCCCCTTTTTATTTTTCCTATTTTATCAATGTAGACATTTACATCATGCACTAAGAGGAGTTTTAAAATTGTGTAATAAGTGACGGAGCCAGTATACGGCTGAGGAGGTATATATTTATTTTTTAGATCGATCAAATTTATACTAACTATTTCAATATTTATTGTGACAACAGAGAGAGCACGCATTTTCAGCAACGAATAAAGTTAAAATCAAGATTTTGAATCAAATGGAAGATGAGGTTGTTTCATACCTATTTTTTATGTATCGAGAGAAATTATTAAAATATCAAGTATGATATTTGTGACATGAAAAAACGTCGTGCATTTTGAAATATCATTTATTTTAGGGTAAATTACAAACACCCCCTGAGGTATGGCCAATTTATTAAAAAAAAACCTCTTGTTTGGATAATTACATCTACCCCCTCAATTATGTTTTTTTCTTACACCTCCACCCTTAAGGTGTCAAATTCAACATAATCTTCTACATTTCGTGGAATGCGCTCTAGTTTGTACTCGTTTTGTGTAAAAATACAGTTTATGATGCACCACAATCTGATATATACAAGCCAAAAAACACATATTATGATCATCTTGCTTCAAAATGTAGAGTTCGAATGGGATAAAACGGGTACAAAAGTGATAATATTCCATATAATCTCGAAGATTCCACTAAATTTGAGAAGTTGAGGGGATGGTTATAATTATTCAAACAAGAGAGGGATTTTCGTAATTTGACCATACCTCAGGGGTGGTTGTAATTTACTCTTTATTTTAATTAAATTTTTTTTGGTAAGATACTCAATCTTCATATTAAAGTTGTTTGATCGGGTCTAATATTAAATATGTGCTAAATATATTGATTTATCGTTATATTTTTTGTTTTATTTCAGTATAATATTAAACCTGAAATTCTCAATATTAAGTAAATGTACATCGAATATGGGATGGATTAAATAAAATTCGATGAGAATCCATCTATTTGAAATTGTTGTTCTTAAATCGTGCACGCTATAAATGATTTAGGACTCATTTTTGGTATGTGTTCTTTTTTTATCATCGTGACCAATTAGGGGTAGAATTTTAATATAAATCTTAAAGCGTATATAAATGGAAGTCCGTAATTAAATGCTACTATTTTATGAAATTAGTAACACCATTTCTCATGCGATTGATTTTGTAAGAATGACTGAAACGTACAATAATAATTTTATTCTTAAAGCAATAACTAAATTTTGTTAACTAAGAGACTTTATAGACGGTTCATACGCAATAGTAACACCAAAATCTAATTAATTAGTGAAATTAAGAGGGTGTTTGGCTAAGCTTATTTTAAATAGTTGATAAGTTATTACTTTTGATAAGATATTTTAAGAGCTGATAAGTTGTTACATCTTATTATTAGGATTGATTTTTAATGTGTTTGGATAATGAGTTTATATCCTATTTTTACTCATTATAAGATCTTAAAAAAAAGGTGAGGTAGGGGTACTTTTTAAAAAAGATCTTATTTGCTCTCCAACAACTTATTTTTTTTTAAATTAATATCTTTTTTTTTTTTAATTTACTAAACACTTTGAAGAGCTTATAAGCTCTAAAACATCTTATAAGCTCTTTTTTAACATCTTATAAGTTTAGCCAAACACCCTCTAAATTATCCATCCATCAAGTTTACCTCAGTTTCACATTTGATCCTCCATGTTCACAGAAAACAGATTTAGTCCCTCATGTACGACTAATTTAACACTTTTGGTCATCTTCGTCAATTTTTTGTTAGTACTGACGGAATCAAGCATGTATCCACCACACTCTTAACTGACGGACTAACGATAAATTTATGGAAATGACCAAAATTGTCAAATTGTTGAAACATGAGAGACCGAATGTATTTTTTGTGAAAATTGTCCAATCTTGAGGGACAAAAACTGTATTTTCCCTCTAATTAATTATATGCAATATGTAATTCAAAGAACAAAACATATTACTAACTAAATAATTAATTAAAAATTAATTCAATCTAATGTAATTCATTCTAATCCACTGTAGACAAGCAAACGAGGTATAAAGAGGTTAAATTAGAACTTTTTGACAAGAAAAACTTAATTCTTTTTTTCTTTTTTTAATCTCAGTTCTTGAAATTCAAATTGTCAAACTTCTATCTCTATATGCGCCTATATTATAAGTGACCCATTCATTTACATACTTATTTTAAAAAAAAAAAAAAAAAAAAAAAAAAAACTCATTGATTTACATCAAAATTTATGGTGGTGTCATTTTCAAATATCTGTACAGTTAAACCTCTATAATTAATATTGATCCTACTATAAATTAATACAGTCGAGATCAGGAAATTCTATTACTTTAGCGGATTATTAAATTATTGAGTTAATAATTTAACACATTTTCACCGAGTCGGAACCGGGAGAAATTATTATTTAATCGTGGTTATTAATTTATCGAGGTTCTATTGTAATTTATGTCTCTGTGTGTGTGTACGCGCGCACGAGAGAGAGCTAGCTTAGTGTAGAATCTCGTTGAAAATTGCAGGTCATTATGATTTATGACACAAAATAAAAATATTAAAAAGAAAAAAAAAAATCCATGTAGCAAGAAAACAGCAACCTAATATTCTAAAATTGCGTAATATTGTAGTGACATGAATTAAGGCACTTGTGGATATTGCACGTAGTTTTCATAGGGTAGAAGATGAACATACTACATATACTTAATAAGGTCACCCAGCTGAGGTGAAGTTAAATTACGAAAAAAAAAGAAAATATGTTTGGAAATTTACAACTATTCTCCTCAACTATGAATTTTCTTACATGTCCATTTTTGTGGTGTCAAATTTAGTGGAATCTTCTAGATTATGTGGAATTTTCTCCAGTTCGTAGTCGTTTTATTCTATTCGAGCTCCACGTTTTGAAGCAAGATGATAATAAGATGTATCTCTTTGATTGTAAATATCAGATTGTGGGTGCATTAGAAACTGCATTTTTGCACAAAACGAGTGCAAATTAGAGAACATTCCACAGAATCTAGATGATTATGTTAAATTCGACACCATAAGAATGGTCGTGTAAGAAGATTCATAGTTGAGGGATGGTTAGAATTTTATCCAAATAAGAAGATTTTTTTTCGTAATTTAACCTTATATCGTGGGAGGCCGTAACTTATCCTACTTAATAATTCAAAAAAATAAATTGTAAAGAAGCTTCAATTACATATCAAAAACGAAAAAAAACGAAAAATGAAAAATGAAAAATTATTCGAGTCATCATAACCAAATAAACAAGCTGGATAATAAGTGTTGTAAATGTGAACTCACATATAAGAATTCTTTCTTTCTTTCTTTCTTTACATCTTGTAATGATCAACTTTCCTTCACACAATAATGGCAGCCGCTATAAGTTTACATCTCTCGAATAATTTGCAAACTATTATACGAGAGTGTAGGTTTACTCAATGCACTTGAGTTTCTTCGTTACCAAAAAAATGACGTGTTCTCTTAACCTCACTTGTTTCTTTCTTTCTTTCTTTTAATGATCAACTTTCCTTCACATAATAATGGCAGCCTCTATAGGCTCTCTAGGTGAAACAGAATTTTCTGATAATGATAATTAATACTAGGGTAAATTACAAACACCCCCTGAGGTATGGTCAAATTACAAAAACACCCCTCTTGTTTGGATAATTACAACCACCCCCTCAACTCCTCAAATTTAGTGAAATCTTCAAGATTATATGGAATATTATCACTTTTGTACCTGTTTTATCTCATTCAAACTCTACATTATGAAGCAAGATGATCATAATATGTGATTTTTAGCTTGAATATATCAGTTTTTGGTGCATCGGAAACTGTATTTTTACACAAAACGAGTACAAACTAGAGCAAATTTCACGGAATCTAGATGATTATGTTGAATTTGGCACCATAAGGGTGGATGTGTAAGAAAAAATCATAATTGAGGGGTAGATGTAATTATCCAAACAAGAGGGGGGTTTTTGTAATTTGACCATACCTCAGGGGGGTGTTTGTAATTTACCCTTAATACTATTACTATTATCTCCCCATTCTAGAATTTACATTTATACCAATGTCCAAAAATTCATTTAAAATGATTATGAAATAGAAAGGGTGGATAGGAAAGTAATTTTAGAATTTACACCAGAATCCCATTTAAATCTGCAATAGTTTTTTTTTTTCTTTTTTTGCTGAAAGCACTATTTGTGTGAACGAAAAAATGAACATTTTTTTCGCCAGCAACAGCCAAATGCAATGCATATGTATATATTGGAGAAGTCAGCATAGTTTGAAGATTTAGTCCACTGTATCTATCTACCTATCTATCTAAATCAACAAAAATTCCTCCATACTACTAACATATGCTTCTTTTTAAACTTTAAATGCAATATAAATTGAAAAAATTATTCGAGTTTTACTATCGGTATCTCCATTTCTATCACTAAAGTTAACAAAAAAATCGAAGGGGCTAGAAGACTCTATGAACTTACAAGCAAAACCAAATATACAACTTATGTTTTTTATCATGTTTTGTGTACTGATACTAGGGTTGGGCATGAGTCGGTTTGGACAATCATCGGTCAATTATCTACCGATCCAACCACCCAATTTTCTTGAATATTGAAAATCATTACCACCCCAACCAGTATAGGTCAGTTGGCTGGTATTACCGGCCATCTATATTGAAAATATATAATGAAGAATATGAAATAGTAAGTTGTGGTTTCTAAATTTGAGTTTTCGAGTTTTGACTTCTTTTATATATTATTTTAGCATTAAAAAGATAAAAGTTACAATAAATTTTTATTAAAAAAAAGTTGGTTGGCCAATATTTCCCCACCAACCAACTTTTGAATATACTGAAAACCACCGACCAATCCATTTATCTACGAGTCAGTTAAAATTACGGGTCCAGCTATATGGGTCGCTTAACTATCGGCTATCGGTCAAGAAAAGCAGGTCGAAAGTGGATCGGTTGACCGATAAAATCGATCCATGCCCAACCCTAACCGATACTATTGTTAAGCCCCGACATAGGAGCCTTCTCTAATGGCTTTATTTTCCCACTGTCAAATGCTTTTTGAGCTCTCTGTTCATATAATTGAACCCTAAGGTCAAAAATATTCCATCCTAATAAGAATCAATTGAGGCTGACTTTGAGGTGAGTGAGAGTAATGCCGAAATTTATGGCATTAGGGTCATTGTCATAAATCATAATACTCGTGTCAAAACATATACATACATATATGCTCTCTACTGTGTATCTATATTATTCTAACCAAATAAATGCCTGTTGTCATCATCCAGTAATTATTCCACTAGTCATATATGCACGCTTGTGCCAAACCATCGATAAAATTACGAGACGGACTAGTAAATATTCTGCGAAATTGTCCAAGTTTCGGGTTTCGGGTTTTCGGGTTTTCGGGTTTTGGGGTAGCCAAATGGTTATGTTTATGAATTAAAACATCAATATCTTATATAAGGATTTATATATTGTATAGGAAAACAATTACCGGAAATGAAGTGTAGTTAATATGATACATGGAAGTAGATTGAGAGCGTAGTAGTTACGGGTAAATAAGACTGCCATACAGTTCATGAGAGAGTACGCTTATTGAAGGATTCCACCGTCAGATTCGCGGTGAAGGCTGGTATTGAATTCATCTTCCGGATAAATATATCAACCTGCAATATTTGTAGCTTAAGAAAAATCGAAAAATCGGGAATGAATGCGTACATGCAATGAAGTTATTTAATAATTGTTTCTGTCTCGAGACGGAGCCTTAAATAAAAGAAGCATGCATCACTAAAAAAATATAATGATATTATTTGTTCAATAACGAGTATCATGTAAGGTGGTTACATTATCAAACAACACTTCCTAGTCAGATAAAAATCGAAACTTCAAAAGTTTACACAAGTAATAACATTTTTTTAGAGAGACGACGTGGTTTAGATTTCAGAAAATTATGTTCTTCGATTTCGACTATTTTGGAATCCAGGAATTTGAAAATGTGAGTGCGACTTCGAATTACTGAAACACTTTCAGACGTCTAAATTTATTCCCAAGAACTCTGATTCGTTTTTTCGGGAAATGCCTTTAACAATGACTCATCTCCCACTTACATGCTTTGTATCTTTTCAAACTTGGGGACAAATGGGATATTCACCGTTCCCTTTCATATGAATGTCGTTTTCAAAGTATAATCAAAATCCATATTTCATCAATTTGATGAACTATAGATAGTGATATAAAGAAATGAAAACATATTTTACTGAGTGGAGAATAATCACCAAATTCTAAAAACTTGACATCAGTAATTATGACTCAAAGGCTAAATGCTATTTTGCTAAGTCCAACACCTACCTATTGTTCTGCTTTTCTACTAAGTCTTTGAGAACAAAAAGTTCAAGTCTAATCAAATAATACATATAACACAAATTTCCCTTATTTCAATAATCCTAAGAGAGAAGAAAATAGAATATCAACCAAAAGATTTTTCTTCTTGAAACAGCACCACTATCCAACATAAGTTAATTGCTTAAGTTATACATTTTCTAACGAACTTGACAAAGAACTCAGTGCAATAACTTGGAGCAAATGACGCGCAAAGATTAGAAAAACAGAAACAAAGAACAATTTCAGAAAGATGTTTAATTCATACCTGTCGAGATATCTCCCGCTGTGAAGTGTACTCATTCACCTGACATTGGGTGGGGGAAAAAATAGTTCATGACAAATACCAGATTTAAAAAAAAAAAAAAAAAAAAAAAAAAGAGAACTAAGCATCTCAGCTTACCACAATATTCGTGTTCCCAGATTCATAATCAAATTGAAGCTTCTCATCATCGCTGAGGGCATAAATCGAGTTGAGAGTAAATCGCGTGACCGGGATTCCATCTGAGCGCTGATGGTCATCCATTACAATCTGAAGCATATTGAAAAGATAACAAAAAATGTCAGTGAACTCGTTTCTGCAAAAACATAATTGCTGAACTTAACCATCTAATGGGATCAGCAATACATTGTCCAAATGGCACCTTCAGCACTTGTATTCATAAGTACACCACCTAAAAACTTTTGGGGATGAAAGCTATAGGTTTAATACTGTAATACGGAATTCTAACTCATGAATATGTGAAAAAGCAAGGAAGCTACAAGGTCTGACTGATTTTCTCTGAACAATTTTCTTAACCATATTATCAGAGTTCTCGTGGTTTTGGAGAGAGTAACATTATTATACTGCACCGAGACTAATCATGAATTTTCTTGCAACTACAAGTTTTTGTGTGCCATCTGTAACATACACTGCAATTTCTTGATCAATTTAATAAATGGTCATCAATCGAGGCCAATAAAATATTGTTCTACAATGCCCAAATAGCTGAAGTCACGTGCCAGAAAATAATTCTATTGAATTGTAGCATAAAAAAGAGAGATAATTGAAAAGCTTGCTCTTCTCTGAGGGATAGTACAAGTAGGATAGATTGGCGGCAAAATTAGAATGCACTTTCCACAAACACTAAGAATGTACTTTCACATTTACGAAAACCATAAATAGGCGGCAAAATACTTTTGACACCCTAACTAGGAGACACTTCTAACTGCGAGCCATTCTATGATTTCTATGATTTCATTAGGAGGTGCACTGAAGTAAGTACCCAATACATAACAATGTAACCAATTATTGCTTTAGAACTAAAAAGTAAAAACTGGTGTGTGATACCTTGTAACCAAATAGTTCACAGCACGCCCTTCTAAAAACAGAGATTCTTTCTGCAAAAACTGTCTTGTATCTGTTTTATCACATATTTCTGAAACCTCAGTGTCAAGCTAAAACAACGGGAAATGAAGAGAAGAAGTATTCCCTACTAACCTCTCCTCACGCTTTTCAAGTTTCGCTATTTGTTCTTTCAACTGCTTAATTTTCCCAGCAATGTAAGAATCAACATGTGCACCAGCATCAGCTACATGGCACAATGTTACCAACAATAGAAAATCAATAATCATCAAGGAAAAAGGAATCAGTTCTCTAAGTGTAGATTATTTATTAATCATATACACGATGACTTTTAACAGACTGTAGGCCAATATTCCAGCTGATCAAATACATTATTGCTTCGAATTGCGTATAAACAATATTTGGGAAAGGAAGATTGTTAGTGAATCTTCTTATATAGATGTTCAAATCACTATGTGCAAAACTTAGGCCAGTTACAAACGGCAAGTTCATGAAATCTTTCTTCTACTTCATCTTATTTTCCCAAGTTTTCATGAAAGAGAGGAGCAAGGAGGAGGTGGTGACAAATGGCACTGGCATTTTACTATCTTATATGCCATTGTATAGCAGTTTGTCGCAACTCGGTTACTACTGAGTTGAATTTAGCAGTTCAAAATAAGCTAAATGCTTTGAGTGCATCAATTGAACTAACTGTATACTGTTATTGGTGAGGACACGAGAAGTGTAAATAAGAAACCACATTATACAAATTTGACTATAATCTATCTTACTGACATGACTGTTTCTTAAGTTCATCAACAGCCTGCAACTGCTCCTTTGTCTTCTGCAACTCGTTTTGCAAAGCTTCTATGGTTTGTTTTGCCTCATTATCGACTGCTAGGGTGTTAACCATCCGAAGAACTTTTGTATTGGCAGAAGAAAAATCACCGTGTCCAAGCTGCAAAAGAAACATGATCCATCATTGAAAAGGAAGAGAAGATTGATACTAGAAGAGAGTGACTGTGTAACGAAATCACTTTGTGTAGGAAACAATTGCATATTCACCACCGGCCTAGGTAATTGACTAGTTAAAATCTTGTTTCTTTATGTTTCCCCATAACAGAATAACGACCCTGATGATTTCAGCAATTAGTACATGTCCATCATAATGGGAAAAATTACCAGGACAGGCACTATGAGCAAAACCATTAAGGATCAGCAGTCTAAGGATGCCATAGCGACAACCTTTTACTTTCTCGTAACTAAGGGAAAATTAATTCCATGATTATCTATAATGTGACACATCCATATTCGTAAGTGGTGAAAACTAATTGAAATTGAAAAGAACTGCCAATTAATTTTAGGTCAAGTATGAGCAGTCCTAGACTGCTTGATTGTATTAGAAATGTGATTCCTTCACCGAAGCATTTACATATGAAAAAATGTAGGCGCTTTCTGCTATTTATTAGTACTTTCGGTTGAATTGAAGGAATCAAATTTCAGGGTAGTTAGAGGCTTCACCGAAACAACAAGATTGCAACTTCTTACTAAAAACATTTTCACATGAGACTCCGGCTGAAGTTTCAATATGCAAGGATATGAATGAGATCCTATCCTCTCCATCAACAAAGTTTTCTGGACTTTTTGGTTAAGAAAATCCAATTCTTTATTATCCCATCTCATCAATATTTAAATCCTAATGGCATTAAAAAAGGTTTTGAATTATTTCACCGTATTGAACTTGACAAGCACAAGAATAAAAAATGATGGAATAGCTACTGAGGAGCATAAGACACAAGTATATTTGCTTCACAAACCTTAGACTCCAACAAAGATATCTCAGAACGGAGGCGATCACCGTCTCGCTCTAACATCTTCAATCGTCTTGCTTCATTTGTCAACCTTTCATTTAGCAACTTTATCTCGTTGTGTTGACGGCTATTGATTTCCTTTTGCTCTGATAAACTGTTCTCTAGTTCCCTGACATAGTTTTCCTTCTTGGCAAGAGATGACTCAAGTTCCTGAATATGAGAGATAAATAAGCAGAAATATGTGAAAACATTACAGGACAACGTACGTAAGAACGGTACTCAACCTGAACAATAGTTCCACCGGCTAATTCAGTTCCACCTTCAACATTCTTGCGCTCTTTTAATTCCTTAACAAGATTTTGTAAGCGGTCTCTTTCCTCTGTAATCAAACCGAACTACAACAGAAAGGAACCAGATCAAACAAAGCATAAGATACTTACACCAACATCACCCACAACTTCTAGACAGTAAAAAGGGTCATAGTAGAAGTAGCACACAAAGGAGCAAATGGTGATACACTGTCCTAGACTCCTAGCATCAGACAACCAAAAATCCATTTAAGTACTAACCATCAATTCCAGTCTTTTTATTTCTGCTTCAGATGACTCTGCTTTCTCTTTTGCTAATGCAGCCTCAGTTTCTGCAGTTTGTTTATCAAGCATTGCTGTATCAAGAGCCACTTGAATTTCTTTCATGCATGCCTGGGCCTCGCCAGCTCTCCTCATGCTATCAGCCACCTCTCTGCAAGCTCAATGAAAAGAGGTCAGGAGCCCCACCAGGGAAGAGACAGAGGAACAACTTGACAAATTCCAAAACGAGCTACCAGAAAAGATACAACTTAACAGTAATATCAGGTTCTTTACAAAGGGGGTCGGGGGGAGGGAATATGTATATATATACTAATAACAATAACAATTAAGATTTTTACTCAGTTAGATTTGAGAGCTCAAAACATTTTAATGGGAAATTTTTTACTTCATCTCATACAGGTACTAATTGAAGCAACTCTGCTTTTGTTGGCAATCATTTGAATAGTATCATCACAAGAGAACTTCGCAGCAATATAACAAATGAAATATGTAAATGTCAGCTATACAGGATCAAAGTAGCAGTTTCTTAATTATGGAACTCTAGATAATAAAACCCTAAACAATATATGACTGAGATATATACCTTTGTAAAGCTGCAAATTTGGAAGGTATGTCATCTGCAGATAAAACACCAGGAATTTCCTTAACAACCGATTTCCAGATAGACAACTCATCGTTCAACGTATTTACGTTTAACTGGAGGTCAGATAATTTAACTAGATCCAATTCTGCCCTCTCCCTGCGACGCTTTTCTTCATATAGTTTTTCTTTCAATAACTCGATGTCTTCATGATAAGCTTTTATCTTTCTTGCTTCACGCACTTCAGACTCCTGGTGATATATGGAGAGTTGAGATATGTCCATTATGCACATTTTCATATCATACAGTAAATACGTATATTAAAATGAAGATCTCAGTAATGAACCATATGAATACAAGAGAACACAGAGTTGGGTTGTTCCTTATAGCATATTAATTAACGTATATACGCCAACAATAAAATATGCCACCACCTAATAAAACATGACACTTCATCAAGGGGAAACCCAGATTACGGCTAAAATGCAGGCTAATAACAAACTATCTTCAGCAAACAGGGTCGTAGTGGATTTATAATAGCTTTAAAAAATAAAATACAAGGCTTAGGGGTGATCCAAGGATGTTGTTACTCACTCCTATCTAAATTTTTGTTCTCCTTCCAATTTTATAATTGTTCTATGATTTTTTTTAAAACGAAGTTGCTTTCTAGCTTCTACATAATCTAAGCCACATGTATTAGGCAATATCTAATCTAAAGGTGAATAATAAAATGCTTACATAGTTCCTCAGTTCTTCTTGCAAATGCTTCACCAGCAGATTAGCGTCCTTTGAAGAAGCTTCCGGAGATTTGACAGATACATTTTTATCCATCTCATATTTCTCCTTCATGAACTAGTGAACAAAGAATACAGCATTACAAAATAGATTGTCAAATAATAACCATGAATTTATATGAGGTACAAGTGTAGCAAAAGAAATTAAAAATATTTTGTATATTGATAAATGCAATGTTCTTAAAGCAGGAACTCATAGCCCAACTTTATGTACTTCTTCCACAGATGATAAAAGAGAAACATGCCCACCATTTGAAACCTACACATATGCGTACAAAGAAGTAATGTTTTATTGAAGCTTAAATGACAATATATCTTTCACTTTTTTAAAAAAAACTGTCCGATTAGTCCAATAAATTCATAAACTTAGGAAATGAGGGTATGCTGATCTTTTATGTCATTTCCCAAAGTTGCTATGTATAGCATTTATAAATAGTTCTAGAACATGGACAGTGCCGATGAGAAAAATCATGTCCTTGAGCACAATTGTCCAAAAGAACCGAATTGTTTATTACCATGAGCATATCGGAGCAGCTAGGTCATAGTAGAAGGTAACTGAACCGACCTAACCAGTGAATGACGCTCGGTCATTGGACATGGAACTATCATAAAGTACAATTTTGCCAATCAACTAGAGGAAATCAAAAGGCTTGCAAACTTTATATAAGTTGAACAAGGAAAAAGTTACCTCATCCATTCTTCTTTTATTTTCTTCCAACTGCTCTTTCAGTAATGCCGACTCTTTTTCTGCATTTTTAGCCCTAAATTCCATTTTCTCAAGCTGAAAAAAAAAGGATGATGGAAAATTAAGATAACTAAAATCACCATTAATAGTGCTTTACCAACAGATAAACTTTGAAGTACTGACATCAGCACTTATTCTAGAAAGTGACAGCTTTGATTCACTTCTCATTTGAACGAGCTCATTTTGAAGACGACTCTTTTCCCTAACAATGCTTTCTGATACAGTACTTAGCTTTTCCTCTAAAACGCTTGCTTTGTCTTCAGCTTTGGCTGCTGTTAACTCTGCCTTTTTGCGAAGATCCATCTCCTTCTGGAATTTCACCTGACAAAATATTTTGGTGCACATGACAGATAAATGAAAAAACGCACAACGGAGAAACAAGGATGAAATGTTTTTTTTTTACCAACTGTAGAAGAAGAATATAACTGAAACAAAAAAAGGAACCATACAGAAGTCACCAACTAACTGGAGATGGAGAATTCTTAACTGGAAGACATACAACACATAATTTGTCAAGAACAATTACGGAAGACAATAACCAAATTTAGATCATACAAGAGTTGGTATTAGAATCTTTAATTGTTAAGGTGAACTTAATAATGGTCGTGGTTATAAGTACTAAAATCATTGAACCAGTGCATGTAAACGGCAGTGACCATACGCATTGTTCCAGAGATGTAAAGCGGCAGAAGTTATGCATTTAACTCCAAAAAGTTAAATAAAGCTCCCAAGGGAAAAACAGTACATCACCAAAAAAAAATCCTCAATCTAATTTTAATTACATAAAACTGAAGTGTGAACAGAAGGTGATGCTAAGTCCATCTTTATGCTTTCGAGCTTAACAGAACCTCATATCGGTAAGGTTTGTACTCATCCACGCAGAAAGATTTTGGTAGGGACGGTTATAAGGTTAGGTACTTGAAATGTCAGGTATGAGTCTCCAGAACTTAACTAAACATACTGAAACCACATCCTGAACTGGGTGTTTCGAGCTTTAAGTACTAATATACGCACAAATGATGAAACAGAGCCATGACCTAATTTAAACTTTAATATAGATTATGTTCCTCCAATTTGAAACCGGCCTTTCTAACATTGGCCCACCAATGACCGGCCCTCCTGAAGATGAAAGATGGGTGTAAAGACAGAGTTTTCTTATAGTGATTGTCCACCGAGAACTCGAATCAAACCTATGGAGGTCATCCTTAGAGCAACAAGGACAGAAAGATGAGAAAACCAATAAAGAATGGAGGAAGCATCACCACAAAAAAATCTCACCGGAGGAAAAAGGTGAAAAAGAGATCAATCTAAAAGTGATTGAGGGAGAGAATTTGCCAACAAAAAAATTACTCGACAGAGCAGTGACTAGGGCACAAAAGGGAAATCTACGAGGATGTTTTCCTGTCTAAGATGTCAGAAACTTGAGTTATGAAGTTATGAGTATCTTCGTTCTTAAATGTTCTACTTCTAGACATGGTCAACTAGAACTTTGGGGTTCAAGATAGATTGGGGTTAAAAACAGATCAAATTGTGTTACAACCAATCAGTTTGACTCAAAAACTCTTCAAAAACCATTTTGGACAAGCGAATCCAAACCTGTTCGTCTCAGATGAAGATCCAAAAGTTTCATGTTTGTCAAAGCTATCCATTTAAAGAATGCATGTAATACTAAGCACAGTGCATCAAAACATGACAAAAACCCATAAGTTTTATTAGTGTTAAATGAAACTTAAACCAAGACAAATCACCACACCTCAAGCTCGCTAAAGGATTGTATTTGTTTTCTAAGATGTTCTTGAGAAAAATCAATCTCCTTCCTAAGCTGCTCTTGCAAATTTTGTTCACGTCCTTTAGCAGCAGACAGTTCTTGCTCAGCATTGAAGCATTTATCCCGGAATTTCTTTCTTTCAGATTCTGTCAAAAGTAAAAGTCATGTTATGATAAAACTTATCGTCAAATTATGAAGTCACATTTTTTTTATAAGTATAGAAAATATGGGCACAAAAGTGGGTCCACTCGATTACCAGTCAAAAGACTATATCTATGCAAGGCATACGTAATTTTCAGTCAAAGAATTAAACAATCACTATTCTTAATATTGATGAAAACACTACAGATGTATGCATGTGAAAAAGCAAACAATTTGCATGTCAGGGCAAAGTAAGAAGGGTAATTTTGTCAGCTTCTGTAAACCTATATGACAAGGAAAATATAATAAATTGCTTTAGTTAATTGACAGTTTTTCCAACAGGTCAACTAAGATAAGCTCAAATTTACAGACACGGTATTTCTTCCTGATTTAAGGAATTCAAAGAGATATAGCGCGGTGATTAATGACAACTGTAACTATAATAAGCCATCTCTGAGAAGAAACTCTATCTTCCTCCTTAAAGAACCTATGTGAAAAATGACAATTATATAAGAAATTCTATTTGTTTCATGTTCAACTTTGTTCTAACAAAAGTCATAAATTTCCTTTATCGATTTTCTACCACAATCTTACCAGATTTTGAGAAGTCTTCATTCAGTGCTTTGAATTTAGACTGATAATCATGGGCTTGCTTTTCTGCACTGCTTAGGGCGTCAAAGAACTCTGATTTCACCTACAACAGCAAGTTTCATTAGCCATGAATAATGTCAACAGCAAATTCAATAATACAAGCATCAAGATCCAAGAGAACCTAGAAGAGCAAAAGTAGGAAAGTACATGTGTTTGAAACACATCAAATGAATGGAACAAATCCAACCCTCAAGTCAACCAACCAACCTCGAAAAATTGTCGAGCATTCATTTTCCTGTGGAAATTAACGACTGGTGTCCAAATTTATAAATTGACTTTCTATATGGGGACAGGTCACTGTATAATATCCGATGGAGTTTTGTAGGACAAAGAAGAAAGGTGCCACAACTTATGTGTTTTTCTTCACGCCATCATATCTTTTATTGAATAAGTTCTGTGCATAAAAGTCATTTAGTACCAACTCACTTGATACGAGTCATTTACTCAATGGATAGAGTTGATGGTATATTTAAATTGAAATGGAATACCCATTCATACTACCTAGGGCAAAATTGTGTAAGTGACGCTCATACAACGTGGCATCTACTTTAGATCCCTAGATCAGGAGGATAAATCAATACGATGTACTTATTAGTTGATCAAATTTTAACTCAAACATTTGGGACAAATATTGTGATATTTTACCAACCCGAAAATGATTATTCTCTTAAATTGATAAAACCATAGTTCATAATCATGCCATTCTTCAAGTGGTTAATGAAAAACCGTAATGATCCCCATTGGAGTAAATACTCTATCTAAGCCTCAGTAGAAATTATGCACAATGCAACTCTACAAATCAAAGAAGAAGAGCAATACCAGCATAAAATATAGGGTCAGGGTTCAAGCAAAACTGCTATTGACAATGCTTCATAAGATTGAATATAACAAGGCGAAAATACGACCAATAAAAGCTACTACATTAGGTCAAACTCTAACCCAGACCGGCATATGTTAATTATCTCTAGCATCAAGCCAAACCAAACAATTTAAATTGAATCTTCCAAACCTGCCTCAAGTATTTACTCAGCTTCACTGATTGAAGTTCGTGTTTCGAAATCCCTATACCAATCGCAATCGAATATATACAATTATTTAATCAAATCACTCTTCGAATTAAAAAGGAACAGTTTTTTACCGTCAGAAGAAACCCCAAAAACTCCGGCAGACAATAAAATAATCGAAAAAAATAAAAATAGCATACCATCTGACGGCATTGATAAGTGCAAAGCATTTGGTCGGAGGTCGTCGGGGTTGAATGGCCATGAGAATATTCCGGCGCTTGCAAATCCTCGTAAATCAGTAGCTGCTGCCTATTGGAATTTGGGGTCTGTGTATTATTATTATTATTATTATCATCTTCCGGCGGCTCCGATTCCGCCCTTCTTTTCCTCGGCGCCGGCGTTCGGATAATCATTTGTTAACTTTTTTTCACAATCAGTAAATTTCTCGGTGGAATTGATTGAAAATGGAAAAAGCTAGGGTTTCAAATTTGTATGGAAGTTTTTGAAAAGGAACGCGCCAATGTTGATGCTTATAGTTTGGGTGTTCATGGTGATGGAAAATGTTTTTTAAAATATTTTATAATTTATTATTTTTCTTAGTGTTTAATTACTTTTATAATAAAAAAAATTGCTTTAAATTATAATTTTCAAAATATTTTGTGCAATTAAGTTTTTGGTTTAAAAGTACTTTTATTGATTAATGAAAAGTTGCGCCGGGATATTTGTCATTATTTTGGGTTCGGTTGGAGTTCGGAGGGATCGATCGACATTATCGTTTTCGGACAAATTTATTATATTTGAAGGTGAAAAACTAATTCTAATTCCGGTACAAAATTTTGTAAAAACCAGAATTTTGAAAATTGGAATGAAAACACTTGTTATAGATTTGAAAATTTTCTTATCTAAATTAGCATAATTCGAAATTAGTGACCTATGGGCTATGATATAAAATATACATAATGATATTGATATCTGGAATTTTTTAATTTTATTTTTGAAATATTTTCGAAAATTAATATCATATAAGAAATTCAAATTATTATGTTGCCGAAAATACCCTCTCATTTTCACTTGAATTAAGATGGTGTTTGCAAACTTTTTCCAAAGTGGTTATGAGTTTTTTTCTTTCTTTCAACATTAAAAAACTTATAATCACTTTGGAAAAACGTTTATAAACAACACATAATTCTCACGGCTTCTATCAATCCTGCTCCTGGTTTGATCAACTCCTCTCTGTGATCGATCGATTTATTTGAAATTAGTTGATCGATTGATATGAAATTAGTCGTTCAACTAATATCAAATCAGTCGACTATAGTTGAATAACATTGTTTAGTCGATTAAGTTTTTTTCTTATTCAACTAAGATTTCCAATTAGTGTAGTCAACTATTTTTTGCGCACATTTTTAGAAAAAAATGTACCCAAAAAACCCTTATATCATTACCATTGTCGAAATATTGTTAGAACGAAACTATTACCATTACCCTACCAAGGTTTTTGATGTACCGATTTTGGTATGCCAAAAATTCAGTATACTACAGTATAGTAATGGTTATTACAGTCGATGTTGGATTACTATATAATTAGGTCAATATATAATATTATTTTTCCAAACAATTAAAGACTTAAGTATATTATAAGATGGTAGAGACATGAATTATTTATCTAGTATTTAGAGCATAATGTTTTTAATATTGGTTATTAACTTACTCAACATGAATTATTTTTAAAATATAAAACAACAATATAAAATCTCTTATTATGGATTACATTACATCACAATTGTCAAAAAATAAATTAGAGGATATATCTATCTCAAATGAAAATCTAAGTTCATGGATTTTTATTGAAATAAAAAATAGTCACCCTCATTACCCCTTATCAGAGCTCGTGCCAACCTACCCGAATTATATTATAATAGAATATCGATAAATTAATTTCCAACAAATTAATAACTTTCTCTAAGTAGTATTTTTTCCCTGTTCCGATTCGAGGACAATGTGGTAATTATTTATAATCCACTAAAATTTATAAGATTATACATATTTTAAAACTCTTATAGCCCCCATTTAATATATAAATTATTAGCCCCCGTAAGCAACACTTTGAATTATAAATTACATTTTAAGTTATAACAAACCTATAAAAACTTAACAAAATACGATTCAATTTTCTTTTGTTTCTTGTTGAAGTTGATGATGTCATCTTCAATTTTATCACTCACTTTTCTTAATATGGTAGAAATTTTTGTTTCTTTTGTCCTAGGTCAACAAAAAATCACTATAGCATTGCTGTTTCAAGAGCTTCCGTCCAAAAAACGAGCTTTAGAATATGACTATCATCTTCAATTTCATCATCTTTATGTGTTCCCATGACGCTCTCAATTATTTGTTCGTCGGTCAATATCTATGAACTTATGTTATTTTCTTCAGGGTAGTTCAAGTGACATTCAACACCCCTTTTGTTAATTTAGCTCAATGATTAAATTTTACAGTTTTCATGTGATTTCACCATCTGATAGTTGGTCAGTAATTCTTTTAAATATAGTTATTGAAAATAACAACAGTAATAATAATTTCATAAATTATATTGTAAATTAATAATTATTAATTTATCAATTATTTAATGTTTTGCGAAACTAATAGATGTTGGTCCCAACTGCATTATTCTTTAAAGGCTTCACTGTATATTCTACCTTAGTAAAATAAAATATATTTACTTGAAACCAATTATCAAAACATAAATAAAAATTGGGTTGATCCGTAATTATATAAAAAAAATGTTTCATCTCGACTAATTGGGAAATTATTTATTGAACCCTCACAGTCCAACAATACAATTGAGTTTCCAAAATCACTTAATTTTATTTTGATTGTTTTTATTTATTTATAACTAAGTAAGGGCTTACAACTGAAATATGAATGCAAGACGAATTACAAAGACTATATTTACACTAGATTAAGAGTTAAAAGGGCAAACAAGACTAGCTTTTGCATATAAAACAATGGGCAAATTACTGTCACCTCCCTAAGGTAAGATCAGAAAAAAAAAAAAAAAAAAAAAAAAAAACTCTCATGCTAGGATAATTACAACCGTCTCTTCAAGTATATATTATCTACGGAAAAATCCATCTTTCAGTAGATAAATCATAAATTTGAAATTGCATGGGTGTATATTTAAGACAATCGTAATTAAGAGGTGACTGTAATTATTCAAACATGAAGGATTTTTTTATAATTTAATTTTACGTGAGGGGTGGTCGTAATGTGGCCTAAAATAATATCTAACAATTTGTTGGTATGGACCATTTTGAGATTTAATGTATATAAGTAACATAAATAAATAATTAAATATTATACAATTTGTAAATTATTGGTGTTAGGTTAGGCACACACATAACACTATCTGTACACACTACACGTGAAATGGCCTAACAATTAGCAACAATAAAGAAAAAGGGCACCAAAAAAATAATTCAATTCCCGAAGCGTTGAAATATTAGTCTTGGCTTTCCGCGCGTGGACACTGGATGGGAAACCTGTACCCATTTCAGGGCACGCTTTTCACCCTTGTCCACTTACATTTTCACTACAAAATATATTAACTATAATATTATTATTTTTTTCTTTTTTATTGATGTAGAACATGCAATTTTATTTTTTAGGGTAAATTATACATACATCCCCGAACTATGTTAAAATAACTTTAAAATCCATATAGTATCGTTAATTACAATCACCCCCAAAAACATTGTTAGAAACCCTAACGATATAATGCATTGGGTAAGTTATTACGTTAGTGTTCTAACGGACTACTAGTTTCAGACAGTGGTGAAGACAGTATAGAATTAGGCCAGGGGCAGGGGCAGGGGCGGACCCAAGGGCTTTTAGTTGGGGGGGGGGGGGTGGGGGGGCAAAATAAGGGGTGAATAAAGAGAAGAAAAAAAATATTTTTATAAGCTAAAAGTGTACAAATTTTAAGTATTGGGGGGCCAAAGTCTATAAATTAATAGATAAATACCAAAATGCATAAAAATAATGGGTAAATAGCACTTAACCCCCTTGTGGATGGACATTTTGCACATGACCCCCTTATGTTATGAAATTAGGCACATAACCCCGTTGTGGTTTGAAAATTTTGCACATGACCCCCTTATGGTATGAAAGTAGTCACATAACTCCCTTGTGGTTTTGACATTTTGCACATGACCCCCTTATGGTATGAAACTAGGCACATAACCCCATTAATAGAAAACTGGAAAAGACTAAATTACTCCTAAAGAATAAAGACTTTGTTTCTTAAAAAATTAAAATTCGATAACAGCTATAACATAATATATTATATAGAAAATAGTAAATAATAATTATAATTAATAATAATATTAAAACTTTGAAATATGTAGAATTATTTTACCGAATTATAATTGAACAAAGAAATTGATAGTACATAATTTTATATTGAGTTTAATCCTTTTATATTTAATTTGTATAGCATATGAGATTTTCAAATTGGTTTCTAAAATTGAATAAATTGTCAATCGTACAATAACTAGTATTATATACCTTTTGTTTTGTAAAATTAAAAAAACACAATAATATATATTATATTTTTCATTTTAAGTAGATTAAGCTTTTCATTTTATAAATTAGTTATTTTTAAATTAAAACAAGAAATTTTGACTTGATAGAGTAACCAACGAATAGTTGGTATGGTTGCAATTTGGCTAAACTTTAGGGGTAATTTAGTCTTTTTCAGTTTTCTATTCAATGGGGTTATGTGCCTAATTTCATACCATAAGGGGGTCATGTGCAAAATGTTTAAACCACAAGGGAATTATGTGTCTAATTTCGTATCATAAAGGGGTCATGTGCAAAATGTCCAAACCACAAGGAGGTTAAGTGCTATTTACCCTAAAAAAAGTAATAAAAATAGGAGATAAATTTTTTTCTGCATGGGAGGGAGCCCCCAGGCCCCACGTTGTTCCGCCCCTGCTAGGGGGTGACATAGTTTTAAATCATTATTATTTTATATAAGATTTATACGTTTTCGTCCATGGTAGCATCAACCTCTCCGCGATAAACAAATATAGTTAATACCTGTCCCCAGGACATGAAATATTGGCTCATGTAATTGTTTCAGGGGTGTGGCTGTAATTACCAATACTACAGGGGCCCTAAAGTTATTTTAGCAAACTTTAGAGGTGTAAGTGTAATTTACCTTATTTTTTTATAATGATTATATATTATTTTAAATATATTTCGGATATGAATTAAAATATTCTCAAAACTTTTTATTTATGTTTGTTGTTTTTATATTAAATGATCACACGATTACCATGTATTTTCTATGTCAAATGGTAAAAATAGAAGTGTACTATTTCTACCCATATTATGTTTTGGGATATTTGAGTTAGGCCCATAAAAACTAAGTTTACAGTATATTAGTCCATCAATTCCTTTCATTAAAAAAAAAAAACAAAAAAATACAAATTCAATCTTCATTAAATATCCCTTAAGTTTCATCCGGCACAAGTTCATTGCAAGTTTTAAATCAAATCAAATCAAATAAATTAAGCTAAATAATTGAAGATCCGACGACTTGCTATTGTGTTGTTGTCGTGTCTCTATGAACCCTAAAAGTGTAAATTATACATATTTAAAGTTCAATATATCCATCGCGTTATTTCTAATTACATAAGCTAGTGAGGTGCTTCATCTAATGGTCCTTCACACCAAGCTATTCAATTCACCACTTTATATAAATGGTAAATTAGGGCCACACTATGGGTAAAAGTTAAATTACATTTTTTTTCTTCCTTTTGAGTAATTACATTCATCCCCTCGATTATGTATTTGTACAAACTAGTTATTTTAGACGGTGAAACTAGATATGACCATAATTTGAACCGCCACGGTTTCAAAAACATATTTGAACCATAATCAACCCTAGAAATTAGCGGTTCCAGATTGACTCATGAATCGCCGATCTACGCGGGCGCAAAAATGTATAATTGGTGAGGGAATTTAGAAATCAACATAAGCACAAAACTAAGATTAATATAACTTATTTAAGAAGGGAAAATTACGGTCACCCTCCCGAGGTATGGCTAAATTATAAAAAAAAAACTTTATGTTTGGGTAATTATAGCCACCCCTCCTTTTAAATATTTTTACATAAAATTTATGCAATTCGGTTATTTACCGAACTAAATCGTATATTCAGTTCGGTAAACGGTATGAAATGTTAGCGTACCAAAATTTCGATTCGATTTACAGATTCAACATCTGTAAATTTACCTCTGGAGGGTTTTTTTCGTAAGATAATAAATAGTCGAGGGAGTGACTGTAATTACTCAAACAGAAGGGAAGTTTCGTAATTTGACCATAACTCAGGGGTTGGCCGTAATTTGCCCATTTAAGAAAAAAGTTTTTTTTTTTCTTTTCTCATGGAATATTTATATTACAGTTATTTACTGAATAATAATGAGTAAATGTAGTATTGCAATAAAGCCCCAACATTAATAGGTTATTATAAATATACCCTATAAATAAATGGTGTAGCCACTTTGGACTTTTCTAAGCAGCATTCATTGTTCTTACACTGTAGTCCAACATTTCCCGAAAATATCGAAAAAATGGCACTTTTTAAGTATACTTAGAGCATCTCCCACCCTTAACACCATTTTTTCACCAAATCCTATTTTTGGTGGTGAAAAAATAGTGTTATCTCCCACCCATAGCACACCATTTTATAATTTCTCTATTTTTAGTGACAAAATAGTGTATTTGGTCTCCCACCAATTCCATCAAATTTTACACCAAATAATAAAATATTAATATTTCACCATTTTACCATTTATAGAGAATATGATTTGGTTTGGTCTCCCATGGCATTTCACCAAATATATTACAAAATTATAATTTTAATGTTAATTGTAAACTTAGTCTATTTTATTACCAAAATATTGATTATGAATTTGATCTTAAATAATGATTTTATTAAGTATATAATTTAAAATTATGATAAATATCAAAAATTTATTAAAACATGAATGAAAATCGACTTAGATTATTATACATATAATAAAACCACAAATAAACAATAAGTTTATTAATTATTTCCTAAAAACCTTACAACATAAATTAATCATAAAAATATTACAACATAAGTTAATTATAAAAACACTACAGCATTTCTTTTGGCCAAAAAAATTATTTCATTGATAATCTATTTGATCACGTTTATTATCGTTATCAGATGAGTCTCATTCACCATTATCATCTTCAACATTATCTATTTGATCACGTTTATCCCACAAATGTGCTACCAATCTTCTCCTTAATTCATTATGCTCTCCTCGATTTATCAGATTTCGACGTCGACTAAAAAATTAACATATTTTGTATTATCTAAATCTCTTGAAAGCTTAGAAGGCGGGAGAGTGGATAATAATAATAATAATAATAATAATAATAATAATAATAATAATAATAATAATAATAATAATAATAATAATAATAATAATAATAATAATATCTTAAATTTTGAAAACTAATTCACTAATTAACACTAATATATTTACTATAAATACATTTATAAGTTGATAATCACATGAAATTAGTTAATATAACAATTGTATATGCTAATTATAAAATGGTGTTAATTACACCAAATCCTATTTTCACTCCTATATTTGATAGAAAAAATAGGATTTGGTGGAAAAACTGGTAAAATGGTGGACGGGTGGGAGACGAAAATTTCTTCACCAAAAAATTTGCTGAAAATATAGGATTTAGGGATATGGTGATATAGAGTTTGACCAGGGTGGGAGACTAAACTAAATCACTATAATTTTAGGTGTAATGGTGATTTAGAAATTTAGGTTGGGAGACTAAAAACACCTAAATTAGGTGATAATTATAGGATTTGGTGATGGGTGGGAGATGCTCTTATACGGACACACACAATTCATCTATTTTTAATTCATAAAAATAAAATAAAATAAATAATAAAAATAATAAAAATAAAAATTAATAAAAAGAAACTGTCGGCTTCAACCAGGCAAAGACTTCATTCATCCCCATCTTTTTTTTTTCTCTTTCTCTCTCCTCTCTGGTTTTTTGCCCTTTTTCATTTGGTTGTTTAATTTCTTCCGTAAAAAAAAAAAAAATATAAAAAAAATTAAAATAAAATTACTGTTGATTTAGCTGAATTACCCAAGGAGGACTCGTAATCGGAGCTGAGTTGATTGTTGAACCGCGAGCTGTGCGGGGGGGAGAAGCTCGTGGATATGATTGGATGATAAATATGGAAACGGCGGATTTTTCTAGGGTTTCGGCTGTGCGTATCGAAATTCACGGCGGAAAGCGCAGCTGCTCGTTTTGGTATGTGTTTGGATTTAGTATCTACTGTTTGGATTTTTCTGTGTTCATTTTAGGGTTTTTAATTTTGTTCTTACAGTTGTCTCTCCCGACATATGCATTTCTTACAATGAAATTAAAATGGAAGCTCGTGATTGGATGATGGTGCTGTGTGTGTGAATAGTATCGAATTTCTCTACCTTGGTAGTTTTCGAAACAGCTTGTTACACTGTACGACACCGTTTTGGATCTCCTTGTAATTTTGGGTGTTTGATCGATTATCCATTTTGCCGGTTTAAGTTAATTAACCCGACAATTCGATTGGTTTAAGCGGCAAGTCTGATGGGTGGTTGTGCTGTTTTGGTCAATACAAAGTATATTTATTTATTTATGTATGCAGAATTATTATTCGTCTTGGTTGGAAAATTGTTGCTGTTATTCGATAAAATATTGAAAAAAGAGTCGGGCTATGTGGTTTCGGACCTGTATCCATGTTATGTTTCTGTATACACACAATTTTGTATCTCTACATTGATGTATGTCGGTTAAGAATTTTCTTTTAAGCTAACTCGATTTGAATTATTAGTTACGGTGTAGTGGTGTCTATCATGTGATTAGTTGATGAAGTAATCAACTCAATTTGGAAGCATTATGAAAAAAATAGTTGGTTCATTTTACTTTGCAGATAAAGTTATCCAGAAATTAAGGGTATAAAGAATAAAGATAAGCCCTGCAAAAGCCGTTGGTTAAGTTCACACCTTCTGCGTGATTTGTGTGTGAAAAAAGTGTGTGGCTACAGACAAACTTTTTTGCTGCACTTCTGGCCGAAAAGTGTGCTGGACGAGACGTAACTAAGGGCTTTGTTTATTTGGGTATGAATTGTTGCCGAATTCGTTATCCGCATATATATATATTTCTGGCGTAGAGATAATATCAGTATTTATTTGACTGACATATTTTATTTATGGAGCATAAACAGCTTGACATCAGTGAACAAGAGAAATCACCCAAAAGCCACATATCGGTGTTACGTTGGATTTTGAGTTGGTTTAATCATGGCACATCTTGCTGCCAATCATTTTGGCGGAGGGCCACCCCAAGGTGCGGTTGATTGATGTTGAATTTTTTTTTCTCGTTATAAAATCGATAGGTGGTAATGATTTCTTTCAATCTTGATTCCATAGCAAGTACGTACATGCATGAAATCTACGTTTTTGTCAAGAAGAGCTTTCGTTGTTCTTTTATTGTCCGTAAGTAATTTAGTGGTGTTGCTTCAGTTCTATTATTTCTATGTGATAGGGGCCTTGAATGAAGCTTTATATAAAGAACTTTGGCATGCCTGTGCTGGCCCACTCGTCACTGTTCCACGCGAAAACGAACGAGTTTATTACTATCCACAAGGTCATATGGAACAGGTTCGGCTGGTTCTGTTCATCCTTATTCAATTTATATCTTTGACTTGCAATAATTCAGTTTTGTAATAATTTTTCACTCATTATGATATTTCTTGCTTTAGCTCGAAGCATCTACACATCAGGGACTAGACCAGCAACTCCCTTCGTTCAGCTTGCCCAGTAAGATCCTTTGCAAAGTGGTGCATGTTCAGCTTCGGGTAAGATTCCTTTTGTCTTTTTACGTGGCATTTCACATGCCAGTAATTTCAACGTTTTGCTTTCCATTTTCGTTAATTTGTCGATCTTAAATTGCAGGCTGAATCAGACACGGACGAGGTGTATGCACAAGTTACATTGATTCCCGAACAAGATGTAAGTTTCCATTGCCCCGATCCATTTCTTGTTAACGTTCTTTTAAACTCGTAACGTTAACTCTTTTCTTGAGTTTTCATTATTGATACTAAGGCCTTTTTCTATTCTATTATATTCGGTGAATCAGCAAAGCGAGATCACAAGTCCAGATCCTCCTCTACCAGAGCCTCAAAGGTGCACTGTGCATTCATTTTGCAAGACTCTCACTGCTTCTGATACAAGCACCCATGGTGGATTCTCGGTTTTACGAAGGCATGCTGATGATTGTTTACCTCCACTGGTATGAATTGGGTTTACGTATGTTTTATTTATTTATTTATTTTTGTTTATTTATTTATTAATAAAGTACGCCATGTTACTTTGTTCTCATAATAAAGGTGGTTAATTTTTGTTCAATTTTGCAGGATATGACTCAGCAACCACCATGGCAGGAATTGGTAGCTTCTGATCTCCATGGCAATGAGTGGCATTTCCGTCACATTTTTCGAGGTCAAAATTTATAGGTTACTAGTTATTTTCATTTTTTTCTTTTTTCCAATGCAGATTTAGTTTTAGCTCTGGCTTAGATTAACCTATGTGCCGAACTAGTAACTGAAACCTCTATAGGGCCAACTGATGGTTCAATAATCGGCCTTGGACCATTATAGTGAAATCATGAACGATAAAGACAATCCACACAGTACTTCAAACCAAAAAACGAAAAAAGAAAGATACTATCAGAAAGCACCTTCTCGTTACCTAGTTCCCGGTCATTATTGTGCTTTTATTGTCTTAAATAAATGCCTCCGGTATAAAAAAATCGGCATCACATATTCACATTGTACTGATATTCTATTCAGGTCAACCGAGGCGCCACTTGCTGACCACTGGATGGAGTGTATTCGTCAGTGCAAAAAAGTTAGTTGCAGGAGATGCTTTTATCTTCCTAAGGTACGTTTACATGTGTATACTACGTGTATACTTTTTGGAGTTTATTGCAATTAGTACCCATGTGTTACATCAAATTGCTAAAAAACTACCCTATATTATTTTATTGGCAAAACCTCCCGTATGATTTTTTTTAGCAATTAGCACCCCTGTTTAGGGGGTTATGTGCTAAAAAAGATTGAATCTTAGGGGGGGTTTTGCTAATAAAATAATGATGGTGTAGTTTTTTAGCAATTCGATATAACACGGGGTACTAATTGCAATAAACCCATATTTTTTGTGTGTCATGCAAAAATCACATAATCATTTTTTAATTTTGGCAGAGGAGAAAATGGGGAGCTTCGAGTTGGTGTGCGAAGGCTAATGAGACAACTAAATAATATGCCGTCTTCTGTTATATCAAGTCACAGTATGCACTTAGGTGTTCTTGCTACTGCATCGCATGCAATCTCCACTAGGACTTTATTTTCAGTTTTTTATAAACCAAGGTTTGTGCTCATTCTCCCAAGTTATTTTATTACCATTTTTAACATTTAAAAGCAATGATAATTGGAAGAATTCCTTTATTAAACTGTAATCTTTTGTGCCAGGACTAGTCGATCGGAATTCATAGTTAGTCTAAACAAGTACCTGGAAGCTCAAAATCACAAGCTCTCAGTTGGGATGAGGTTTAAGATGAGATTTGAAGGTGAAGAGGTTCCCGAAAGGAGGTACATTCACGGCAATTTCTTTTTCTTTTTCTGTATGTATATAATATTTACATATAGATACTTTCTTGGAATTATTTTAGTAATTTCTATTGCGTAATATAGGTTCAGTGGGACTATTGTTGGTGTTGGCAATAATTCTTCATCTTGTTGGACTGATTCCGAATGGAGATCTTTGAAGGTAACTTGTTCCGAACTCCATGCTTCATTGATCTTTAGTTTCTTTTTGTGCTAATGAGTCTTGATTTCCCGAAAAGCAACAAATACGGACTTATTACAAAGAAAATTCTGAATAAAATGTGTGCATCTAGGTCCAATGGGATGAACCTTCTTCGATACTGCGCCCAGATAGAGTTTCACCATGGGAAATCGAACCGCTAGTTGCAGCAACTCCTCCAAACTCACAGACTCAACAAAGGAATAAGCGGGCCCGCCCGCCTGTGCTGCCTTCGCCGATGCAAGATTTATCGCCACTTGGTAATTAATTACTCCTTTCCTCTAACATTATCAGTTATTACATCCATTTGGCGTTTTTTTCTCTTACAAAGAATTAAAAACTGGTCTCAATAGGTATGTGGAAATCACCTTCTGAATCTCCTTCATTTCGCGGCCTATATCAATCGCCTAAGCTCAGTTCTAACACCAGAGCCAGTCCCATGAGTTACACCGACAATTTGATGCCTGTTTCGAGCAATTCAGCTTACCAGCCTAATCAAATAGAAACTGCTGCAGAGTCATTTACCCCCGTCAGTGAAAAAAGACAGGTCAACGGGTGCAGGCTATTTGGAATCGAGCTGGTTGACCATTCAACAGGCGATGACACGTCAGCAGCATGCCAGCCTGGCGCAGCTATCGAGGATTCTCGAATTCCTCTAGATTCTGATTACGAACAGCAGTCCGAGCCATCAAATCGTAACCCGTCTGATGTTCCCTCAGCCAGCTATGATCCTGATAAGTTTTGCCTTAGATCCCCACACGAACCGCACAACAGGCAAATCCGGAGCTGCACGAAGGTAATTTTTTTTCCGCTTGGTATTAGCTTTCTTTGAATGCCACTAATAATTCGTGTCAACTCCAAACGGGATGTTGACCATTTTCGAGTTTGGATTTAGCAAAACTTGAAACACGGAATTTATCGTTCTTTGAGTTAGCTTTCTAATCCAACTTGAATCACTAAGATCTGCCCGCAACTTTCATCTATTGAGTTATCTAAAATTTAAAAAAATGCAACTATTCATGCATGACTTTGTCATCTGACATCCAATTTAGCTGATTCACGTTGGATTTCTGATTAGAAAGCTAACTCAGAGGACTACAATTTTCCGTGTTTTCGATTTTGCCAAAATCAAACTAGAAAAGGGTTAAAATAACGTTCGAAGTCGAAACCGGTTTTAGTAAAATGGAACAAAATTGAACATTTCAGTATTGGGAACTGTGAATAATTTATATGCTCGTGCCGTTTGTTAGGTTCACATGCAAGGGATTGCAGTCGGGAGAGCAGTAGATTTGACAAGGTTCGATTGCTACGAGGATTTACTCAAGAAATTCGAAGAGATGTTCGAAATTGTAGGGGAACTCTCTGGGCCCACAAAGAAATGGCAGGTTGTCTACACTGATGATGAAGATGACATGATGATGGTCGGAGACGATCCATGGCAGTTAAGTATTATTTTTTTTAATTAATTAATTAATTTATTTATTTTAAATGTCGATTATAGAAAGTAAATGGATCTAAATTTGCGTTTTTTTGGTAAAAATGTTTGTAGTGAATTTTGCACCATGGTGAAGAAGATATACATCTACACAGCCGAGGAAGCGAAGAAGCTTTCACCCAAGATAAAGCTTCCTATTTCAGAGGTTCAATCGGGCAAGCTCAATTCAGACGCTGCTGTTATAACCGAAGAACAATCTTCAACTGTGGGGTCCGGTTACTGACGCATTTTTCTCCTTATCTTTAATCTGTTGCAATAAGGTCGAAATCGGAAAGTGGAAAAGGCTGAAAAAATCAACTTGCAATTTTGTTTTAAAGCAAGCCGAAAGGATATAATGCTTTGGTGAGACAAAAGGGCGGTTTTTTTTGTTTGCGTAATAATACAATATCGAGGAGAGTGGTGCCATAAAAAAAGATGAGGATTCGGTTTATAGTGTATCTTATGCTGTTGGTTTTTTTTGTCGGGGGAATCTTATGATGCTTTGCTTGTTTGGATCCCAGTTAAGTTTCGAAAGAGAGATCTTTTTCTCACCCTTTTCTTGCCTTTTTGTTTATGTTTTGTTTGGCTACAAGTTTGTTTATGTATATAATGAAAAATCTAATTGTCTTGTTGTTCATTTGTCTTATTTCATGTTGTTTTTTTCTTACTGTAGGGGGTGAATTCTGAATTTGTGTTAAAATCCATTTTTACATCACTGAAATGAAATTCATTTATGATTACGAAGAAGAAGAATGTGCTATGTAAAAAATTAGAAATAATTATTTTGTCAAAAATAAATAATAACTAAAAAATATTTTTTTTTTCTTCAAATTAAATATTAAAAGTATTAGATTTTTTTACGGATGATTTGCTGGAAACCTCTTATTTAAAAAAAGAAAATTAATATAAATTAAAGAATTTTAAAAGTATGTAAACATAAATACCGTAATTAATGGAAGTAGTTATTTACGTGAAGTGAGAGAACAAGTACCACAAATCACCCTACTTTGATTGAACAAGAGTTTTGAGACATGTTAGTAAAATTCTGCAGTACTGAAAGAAGATTTTCGAAACCAATTGGAAAACAATATTCAGTTATTCAATAATTTGTTCTACAAGTGAACGCAAAATCAATTGGATTTGTTAATTGTTGAAGATTTCGTTTTACTATCAATATAGATAGGAGTTATGCGAACATGTATATTACTTATTGTTTGTTGTTTGATGTTTTTCGTTTGTCAATACTTTGTTGTCGATTCACGAACGTGATTGATGTTGAAAAGCTTGATCGTTTGATTCATCTTTTGCATCGCTATCTTGATTGTTTTGCGAAAATCTCTTGTTTAGATTTCTAGATTGCAATTCTAATTTTGATTTCTGATTCGATTTTGCAGGCATTTAATAGGATTTGGTGATTTTTTTACGGTTGATGATGACATGAATAATAGAGAAGATTAGAAGATGACCATAGAGATAGTGATTGAGCGCGTTTCATATTTTTTTTTGATTCGTTAATATCATTAAGAGAATATTCAGTTTAGTTTTTGCCCTATACCAAATTGCCCCTCTCTTTTTTAATATTATCTTGTATATAAAAGAAAGAAACGCTAGGGCAACCCTAAGAAACCCTAATGTCATATTTGTAATTGTTTTTCAATTTTTATCAAACTTTTATCTCCTTAATATTATTTTAAATATTATTTTTGAATTTTATCATATTTGTATCCCCTAAATATTATTTTAAATATTATTTTTTATTTTTATCAGATTTTTGTCTCCTAATATTATTTTTTATTTTTATCAAATTTTTATCTCCTAAATATTATTATAAATAATATTTTTTTAATTTTATCAAATTTATATCTCCTAAGTCCTAACTATAATTTTAAATATAATTTTCAACTTTTAGCAGATTTTTATCTCCTAAATATTATTTTCGAATTTTATCAAATTTATATCTCCTAAATAATATTTTAAATATTTTTTTCGAGTTTTATCATGTTTTTATTAGTTTTTTATCTCCTAAATATTATTTTCGTTTTTTATCAGATTATTGTCTCCTAAATATTATTTTCGATTTTTATCAAATTTTTATCTCCTAAATATTATTTTAAATAATAATTTTGATTTTAATCATATTTTATCTCCTCAATATTATTCTAATTATTATTTTCATATTTTATCAACTTTTATCTCATTAACATTATTTGAAATATTATTTTCGATTTTTTATCAAATTTTTATATCCTAACTATTATTTTAAATTTTATTTTCGATTTTTATCTCCTAAATATTATTTTTGGATTTTTTTATCAAATTTTTTCCTCCTAAATATTATTTTATATATTATTATCGATTTTCATCAAATTCTCCTAGATATCTTATATATAAAAGAAAGAAACGCTAGGGCAACCCTAAGAAACCCTAAAGTCATATTTGTAATTGTTTTTCAATTTTTATCAAACTTTTATCTCCCTTAATATTATTTTAAATATTATTTTTGAATTTTATCATATTTGTATCCCCTAAATATTATTTTAAATATTATTTTTTATTTTTATCAGATTTTTGTCTCCTAAATATTATTTTTTATTTTTATCAAATTTTTATCTCCTAAATATTATTATAAATAATATTTTTTTAATTTTATCAAATTTATATCTCCTAAGTCCTAACTATAATTTTAAATATAATTTTCAACTTTTAGCAGATTTTTATCTCCTAAATATTATTTTCGAATTTTATCAAATTTATATCTCCTAAATAATATTTTAAATATTTTTTTCGAGTTTTATCATGTTTTTATTAGTTTTTTTATCTCCTAAATATTATTTTCGTTTTTTATCAGATTATTGTCTCCTAAATATTATTTTCGATTTTTATCAAATTTTTATCTCCTAAATATTATTTTAAATAATAATTTTAATTTTAATCATATTTTATCTCCTAAATATTTTATTTTTGTTTCTTAATTTTCCAATTGTTAATTCAAGTGGCAAAACAACCTTAAAATGAGGTAGTGGAGAAGGGCTTAGTTCCGATGCAAGATGTATAGATGGCCTTTTACGATGGTATGTTGTCGATAGTTTAGTTTTGATTATGTTAACTAAGTTATTAAATCTAATTACTTTTAAGCTCAACATGGAAGACATAATTGATGATTTTTTTCCTGGTTCAAATTTTCAATCTACTGGTATTAGCTGATTCAATTCATTTGGAAAATTATTCAACAGTAAAGTTATGTCCTTTTTTTTGTGTGTGTAGTATACTTAATAATGTTCCAGTATAATAGAATTTTGATCATACGATACATCAAACGTTTGTTTATATTCTTACAACATCAAAAGAATGCAATTTGTTGTCCCGTGCATCGCACGGGTACAATTACTAGTAATATATAAAAGATATTCTAAAATGTAACATTTTTAGAAAAAATAATTACAATTTTCAACAAATAAATATTTCTAAAATTCATATAAAATGCTAAATTTATAAAACTATGCTAATTGAAAAAAATATATAGTTAATGTATTTATAATATCCAATATTATTATAAGTTTTATGCATTATATACATATTTTTTTAAATCTGAATATATATAATAAAATGCAACGTTGCGGAGACCTCCTTTCGGATCAAATGCAATGTCACGGCGATTTAGCAGCCGAAACATTACACTTTTTATTAAAATGCTAAAAGTCGATTTAAAATTTATAATAAATTACTAATATTAAAATGATAATATAATAATTTATAAAATAATATTACACTTCAAAAAATAATGTCATATCAATGTTACAACAATCTGATAAGTGTTCGTTTTGCACGATTTTTGCTTATCAAATCTTCGAGTTTTGGTCTTCGTTCGTCCGAGTTTCGGCTTTATTTGTGTATATTATTGCGTTTCTTGTTTTATTTCCTTTTTTAGGTTTTGTTAGCTTTTGTTGCCAAGTCGAAGCCATTTGGAAGCGAAACCGATTTTTTTCAAGCCGAGAAAGTGGTCATTAAGACCCAGATCGCGATCCAGGAAAGCCGGATCGCGATCTGGGGGCAAATTCCAGTAGTGTGCAAAGTTCAGACCCAGATCGCGATCCAGGAAAGTCGGATCGCGATCTGGTGACAAATTCCAGTGGCAGACTAGATTCAGACCCAGATCGCGATCCGCACTTCCTGGATCGCGATCTGGGAGGCGGTTCGCGTTTTTTTTTAAAGAAGCCAGATCGCGATCTGGCTTTATTGGATCGCGATCTGGCGCGTTTTTCAAGGCTAGATATTTTAAATGCAAAGCTTCTTGAGGAAGCTTTGCAATTTACTATAAATAGAAGCAAGCCCTCACTCTTCATGCTTCTTCGACTTTTTACGGTTTTCGACGGTTCTTCGCGGGAATCATCAACGGGGTTCCGACTTGGGTTTTTCTTACGCAATTTCTC